TTGTCGATCTGCCTGTTCTGCTCCCCACTCTGTCCCTGGTGAATTCTCTCACCCTCCGCATCTCTGGTCTTTACCTCAGTTCTGTATGAATAAATAAATCTTTAAAAAAAAATTATAGACTTTAGAAGCTGCATAGTGATGTAGAATTTAGCTAATAAGGTAATATTCAGTGGGAAAAAAAGAAAATAATAAAATTTATTATTGAATATCAGCAAAAAGAAATGAATATATACCTCATGCCAACAATTATGCCATGACAAGCATATGGAAAACTTTTACTGTGTTTAATTTTTAATAATGCAATTATTGATTAATTTTTATGAAAAAACAAAGTCAAAACAAATGAACACAAGCTTTCTAAAAGCTCACTATAGTCCCTCTTAGGAGACAATGACAACTATACCTCTTACTGTACTTCTTTTTCAGATTCAGGAGCCCAGGAGCCAGTCACAACAGCATCAAGGCTGTCAGCTGACTTTGTGTTTTAACTGGCCACATTCCATGGCTATCTCCATGGCAAAATACAAGCTTAAGGAAGGAACCCTCAAAACTGGCAACATGACTTGAGCAGAGAACTGAGTGGATAGAGAAAGGAAACATGAATTTCCCACTGCATAATCACCACATCTTAAATTCTGTACCATGTACATATGTATATTGCCTATCAAAACGAGGTCTATTTCTGGATGGTGAAATACATTCATCTTGTTGAGTAAAGTGAGCTGAGACCAAGGTAGAGGCAGTCAGCTGTAATTCAGGTTCAATAACTTTATTCTCTTAGATTTCTACCAGAAATCCATCAAAACTTTGAGAAAAAAAACTTAGCAGAATTCTGTATAAAGGTGCATTTTTATGGAGAGGATGGAGGAAGAGACAAGCCCTGTGTCTTTCAGATTCTTACAGGAGCCTGGACACAAAGGTGTTCCCTGGGAAGCCCTTTGCTCCACACACTGTGAAGCTGAACACTCCAGAGAAGAAAAGGCTACACCAAGGGTGGCAAAACTGAAACCAGCTGCCAAGTTTTCCCTCCACCCACTTCTGTGTTCCTTTTTGGTTACTCTAACTCATCACCCCAACAAGACAGTCCAGAAAGAACTAATTGCTGCTAATACAATAAGACAGCTGTGCCATGAAGTGACAGTGATCCCATCTGGTGGTCGGGGATCCAGAGCTCTCAGATACCCCTCGAGGGTGTGCAAAAGATTTCAGGTCTGTCAGAGATCAATATGCAATTTCCTTGGGGAATGTGCAGACATTTCTGCAGGGAAAAATCTTTGCACTGAAACTATTAGATCAAAATTCTTGATTTGCGGGGCCCTCCCTGGTGGCGCAGCGGGTTAAAGCACTGCACTAAGAAGCATAAGCCACTTCCGCATGAGTTCGATCCCCGCCTGCCCCAGAGGAGATCCACATGGCGTGGCAGACCTCTCCTGACCCGCCCGCTGCTCCCCTCAGCAGTGGACTTCGTCCATCTGCCTGTTCAGCTCCCCACTCTGTCCCTGGTGAATCCTCTCACCCTCCGCATCTCTGGCCTGTACCCCAGTTCTGCATGAATAAATAAATAAATCTTTAAAAAAAGAAAAATTCGGGCCCTCCCTGGTGGCGCAGCGGGTTAAAGCACTGCACTAAGAAGCTAAAGCCACTTCCGCATGAGTTCGATCCCCGCCTGCCCCAGAGGAGATCCACATGGCGTGGCAGACCTCTCCTGACCCGCCCACTGCTCCCCTCAGCAGTGGACTTCGTCCATCTGCCTGTTCTGCTCCCCGCTCTGTCTCTGGTGAATCCTCTCACCTTCCGCATCTCTGGCCTGTACCCCAGCTCTGTATAAATAAATAAATAAATCTTTAAAAAAAAAAAAAAGAAAAGAAAAATTCTTGATTTGCTAAATATACCAGGTTTAAAACTGTTATTTCCCCTTATACCTTTTGCAACACTAGCTGTTAGCAGTTTTTAAAATACTTTGCTAATCTGATAAAAGAAATATAATTAACTCATTTTAGTTAATTCCCATTCACTCCTAATTACTAGTAAATTTTGTCCCTAGATCTTTATTGCTATTGTGAGGAGGATATATTTCCATTATATCTTATAATTGATTATTGCTTTAGGGTGATCAATTTGTCCCAGTTTGCCTGGACTGTACCAGTTTTAGCACCAGAAATACAGTGATCTTGGGAAATCCACTCCTGCACACTTCCTGGTAAATCATTAATATTTGCTCACCTTGTAGCAAAAATGTCTGAGTTTTATCTTGTGTTTAAATGATTTAATGAGGTCTTATAAGTCCTGGGCATTGTTCAGCTAAAAGCCTGTTTGGATATTCCAAGATAATTTTTCCATATACAAATAACAATTCTGTCTCTTCCTTTAAATTATTTGTATTGCTTTTGGTTTTCTAGCTAGAGTCTTCAGAACATGGAATAACTGATGAGACAATATACCTCACTTTTTTGAATAATTTTAATGTTTCAATAGTGAATATGATGTTGCTGTAGGTTTGGTGTATAATCCCTAAATAAAGAAAATTCCTTCCTACTCAAGCTTACTTCCCTTAACTCCCAATTACTTTTTGTCCTCTACAAATGAAGAACACAACCTGAATCAATTATATATTTTTTAGAATCTATGAACAGACTTCTTAACGTTAACCATCCTTGCATTCCTGGAATGCTGCCAATATTTATCAAGCATTTACTGTGTATGAGTCATTCTAAATATCTGTGGTTTAAATAATAGAAGGATTATCTGTTTTCCTCAATTAAACCATCTTTACCTGATATCTTCTGAGGAAAGGGATAGAATGTAGATTTTGATGATACATTTAATTTTCCATTCATAGTACCTTTAAGTCTGTATTAGCCACAAGATTCCCTAATTCATTAAAAAGATTCCCTAATTCCAGGCACTGAGATAGTGTTTGTTGATTAACAAGTATTTATTGATAATAATTTTCCCATAAGCACATTTCTTACTCAATAGTTAAAGTAGCAATTTTTGACAAATAATGTAAATTAACATAAAGTAGCTAATATTAAATTTGTCAGATGGAAAACATTCAAATCTTCATCCATCCTGCTTGGACCTTGAAAATAGAAGGCTGTAAGTGCCACTTTTATATAGTAGGTTTTCATTTTCCTAACTGAGGAGAATATCTCTGTTAAGGCCTTCAACACTGCTCTCCACAGAACTTTCTGCAATGATGAAGCTGTCCTGGCACAACTTTGTCCAGCATGGTAGCTCTGTCTACACTGATTAGGCTAAATATGCCAAGCATTTGAAATATAACTGGCACAGCTGAGGAACTGATTTAACTTTATTTCACATTAATTAACTCAAATTTAAATAGCTACATGTGGCCGTGACTACCATATTGGGCAGCAGGGTCTAGAAGCATCTCTGCTTGGGGCCAATTATGATCTCCAAGAAAAAAAAGCCTAGCTCAGCAAAATGTAAAGAACTAAAATGTCTCCATTTGTAGATTATTAAATTGTAATGTGGAAAAGGGACACCAGAGAGCCTAGTCTTGGTCTATTTGAAATATTGCAGGTAACCAAAAAAAAAACACAACCCCTTGAAAAAGTTGTTACTCTTATGATTATGTGAGTTGTTGTAGTGACAGGAAAAAAGGATGACGCCCAGAGGACTAATAAAGGCTTTGTGAATTAAGCTTGCTGAGTCACTTTTCTAACAGATCATTGGCTGATTGCCCCATAAGATAATCAATTCATGTACTAATAAAATCTTCCTAAACTCTGTTTTCTCTTATGTTTTGATATAACCTTGACTCTTAAAATTCATGGTTCCAGAATGATAGAGACTGGTAAAACTAACAGGGTTATTTCATTTTATGATATAGTTTGTTTTATCAGTTTACAGAGGAATAGGGGTTGTTATCAATATTTTAGGGTGGAAGAAGTGGGAATGAGGAGGATTTCCTCAGTTTTGATAAAACCAAACCATATGGCACCAGTTTTTAGAAAGAAAGCTTAACAGCTGTCTATAGTGATGTAAAAAAAAAAAAACATATAAACTCACTAAAGCTAATAATAACCAATATAGGAAATAAAACAAATGATGAATTAACTTTATTATGAGAGGGAGAGATAGATCAATGTCTGTTTTGTTTTTCTTTTAATCAAGAACTATCAGTATAAACACTTCATGTAGATATAGAGCGGTCCCTACCTTAAAGAAAAAGAGGCAGCCAGGGAGGAGGCTGTGAGGACTGTTGATTCCCGTTTCAAGCTTTTCTATGTCATGGGGTGCTTTTAATCTTGCACATAAATTAGTGTGGCATTTAAAAAGTGAGAAGAAAGCTGGAAAGACAGGACCTACCAAAGATGAAGTTGTCTGGCCTGAAGAGCTGCCCGAAAGGCCCAGAGCGCACACTATCCATGGTGCCCGGCTCCAAGTCCACCAGCGCAGCCCTGGGCACGTATTTCTGAGCTGGAAGAGAAGAGCCCACCCACCAGGGTTACTTTCAGTTTTCGGAGAAAGACCTTCTAGTAGCAAGTCCCAGTAGCTACAGCACATGCAACGGGGTTTCCCAAAAGGGCACCTGGTGCCTTAGAACTAAGCCATGGGCGGTGCCTATGAATTGTTCAGAGGAGGAAGCGAGCCCAGGCACGCTGGGCAGAGGAAGCTCCAGGAATAGCAGGGTGAGTTTTGATCTCCTGACTTCCTGCTCTTACATTTTCCAGCTCATTTTGGCACTTCTTTCCTGCTGGGAAGTTGGGCCCATGGAAATAAGCTTTATGTGTCACCTCCCTCACCCCACATCCAGACACCCATGGTTCAGTTCAAGTACCTCATTTACAGATATGATTCCCAGAAGATAACTCTATTAATGAAGAATGTCGCTGTGGGACATTTTCATTTGTAACACACACTTAACACTAAATGGGAGCGAGACTGTTCCCAGTGAGGACAGGGGCAATATGACAGCTCTGAGTCAACTCCTGGGGCTGGAAGTCATCATCCTGGATCAAACACTGACTAGGAAGTACAATGTATTCCTACTGGAAATTTCCTCCATGCTAGAAAGTTCTATCTATCTAGAAAGTTCACCTTCACTGCCCTCCTTCAGACTGTCACAGCTGCTTGATGTATACAGTGATGTATGTATCCTCTGCCTTTCCCAGCTTTTGGTGGGTAAGCAGCAAGTGACCAGGACATGTCATGTGTGCGCACGGTGTCTGTCATGTTCTGGGTGCTCTTTCCATGTCTTAGCTTTTTGTTGTTTTGTGAAGAGTGAGCATCATTTGTATAATCAAAGTTGTTATAGCAACAAAATAACAGGCAGCTGCAGTGGACACCCAGTATCCAGGACAGCATGTTATTCCCATCCTGGATCAACCACAGCCTGGAAATCTTACTGAAATCCACCAGTTAACCTGACTGCTGGTAGTTTCAGCTTTATGGAGTGTGGTGTACTTGGAGGGCTGCAAGGGGCCAGAAAAGTCACTTAAGGGAGTGTATTCCAAGTTTCCAAGAACCTCCATTAGGAGTTACATTTTAAACTGGAGGGGCATTTATGACCCACGAAGTTAACTTCTCAACACTAACGGATTGTCTGGTTCAAGAGCTCAGACCCTGATAGGCCCAAAGCCATGTTTGAAATAAACTGCCGGCGGATTTCCCGCCCCAGGGGGAGCGAGGGAGGAGCCGAGTATCCTGTTATATATCGGGAGAACTTTTCCTACCGCAAAGTCGCCTTGCTTGAAGGCAGCGCTGAGTGCCAGCACGGAGATCAGAGGTGCGATGCCTCGCCCAGGATGAAAGGGATCCTGGAGGGGACTGCTGAAGTCTGCTGGGGTAGGGCCGGCTTGAGAGGGACAGCGGAGATTTGGGAGGGGAGCGCCGGCGTCGGGGAGGGGGTGGCAGGGTCGGGGCGGGGGATGGCCGACACCCGGCCGCGCCTAGCTACTCACAGGATGACTCATTGTAGTAGACGTTAATTCTCTCCAGTTGCAGCGCCGAATCTCCCACGTAGCCTCCGGCCGGGTCGATACCATGTTCATCGCTGATCACTTCCCAAAACTTTTGCAGGGAGAGGACAGAGGTCAGAATCCGGAGTCCAGAGCGCCCCGCCCGCCGCCCACCACCCGGCCGTCCGGACCCGGTGGGAGGTTCGAGGCCGCTGCGGCGGAATGCCATAGCCCGGCGGGCACCTCCCAGCAGGGATGGGGCGCTGTGGAGTGGACGGGACCCCACTGTGCCACTCCCTCGCGGGCCGCGCTGCTCCTCTGACACTTCCTGGGTGCCGCGAATTCCAGATCAGGGCTCGGAGGAGCTAGGGGCACGGAGCGGGGGTGCACCCGGCGGTCCTCACCTTAGGGGACGAAGGCCCAAAAACTGCCCACCCGCGGGGGCAGCCCGTCCCGGCCTGCGAGCCTGGCTCACCTTGGTGCCGATCTGGTTCCCGCACTGGCCCGCCTGGATGTGCACGATCTCCCTCATGGCGAGGGCTGCTTGGTGCTCCCGCACGCGCTCTTCGGACGGCGTAGACGACTGCGGCCCCCGCGGGCTCTCGCAGGCTGACCCTCCGCTGGCCCCCTCCCCCCACCCGCAGCCCGG